GGAGCTGGTGAAGGCTAGTGGCAAGCAAAGCTAATCTGACTATGAACAAGGGGATACTAACTGAGGAAACCTGTTGATAAGCTCTTTGCCAGCTGAGCCTTAAAAAAAGGTTGAAACATTATGAAGAATAAAGAGACATAGTTACCATTAAAGTAAATCAGCAACCATGCTGTGATCCTCATCACATTCATGACAGCAAGATGGTCCATGAGGTTGTGAGTAATTCTAGGAAGCAGCAACAAAGCAAAGTCCCACGGCACATTAATATTGGGCACCAAGTTCTGGGCTACAGAAGGACTGTGACTGAACAGCAGTCACACTGACGATGTGTATTTTTGCTGTGCAGGTTTTCATGTCACAAAGGTGAGGGGATCTTACACAAGATCTCAGACCTCTCCAATTTTACAAAGTATGCCACATGCAATTTATAGCTGTTTACCATCCAAAGATCTAAACAAGCAGTTTGAAGCACCACGAAGTTGGCCATCATTGAGACAGACAACATGATTTAATGGCTGCAGCAGTGCATCAGTAAGTACCATACCTGGTTCTGCCACTAACCTTGCTGGATCACTTTACATATTAGTCTGAACACATTTTGTTGTTACTGTCTTTTGTCCTTTCTGGATGCTCAAATGCAAAATTGGGAAACTTCTCTTTCATCAAAAACACTGTCTCCCTAAACTGGCCTCTATTCAGTGATAGGACAATACATCAAATATTAAATCTGTACTATTAGCACATACTAGCCTACGTATCAATGAAGATGTACTCGATCAACCACCAGATTTTAAAATTTACTATAATTCCTATTTTTACCACTTCATATATTTAAAAGTATCATACAACAATGAGTTAGTTAACTCTTTATAATATACTTTCAAAATAAATTGGTAAATATTACTCCCATAACTTGTATGAGAGAACTGGGGGGAGAAAAAGGCTGAGCAACCTACAGGGACTCATACAAGACCACATAGTATTTCAGTACATAACCAGAAACAAAGCTTCTGATCTTTGTTCATACCTCAGACCACTCTACCTTTCTTTTTTGGAGGCTATGGTACAATTTGAAGGTCAGTTTTCTCACACTAACAGCTCTACTCATTTTCTGTAAAACTTGTAACATTATGTGCTAGTTTCATGTTAACACCTAACATCAAAAATAAATGTATCAGAAATAAAGTATGACAATGGCATTACAATACATTAAGAAGAATGAATGTTCATGTGCTTGACAAGATGCCAAGCAGAAGTGCTAGCACCTGCACATGTCTGTATACTGGGAATTAAACCAAGAATACCAACACCACAGCCAGATGCTGTTTTCTTGTACACACAAATATTTTTTCAAACATTGAGTTACTCTTGCTTTTTCAGAAAGGTAGCAAAAGCCATAATACTGAAGATTTAACAACTGGCTACTACATTTGCAACAGAGGGCTACATTAGCATTACTAAAAGCTTTGCTATTATTTGCTTCAGAAAGGCTGCATAAATTACATGCTCTCTACCTTAGTTGTGATTTTATTATGCTTCACCAAATTTTCCATCCACAATCTATTTTACACATTTTTTAGGCAGATCAATACATTGATTGTTAATGTGGTGATACTCATCTAATCATGCCACCTAACAAAGTATCTAAAATCCTACTTAAATTTCTTCCAAAGAAAAGGCAAAACAGCCAATTTAAACACTGAATGCACAAACAACTGTTTATGACAGGAATCCCGCGTGACTGGTTGATAGCAGCAACTTAGAAGGTTTAGCTCAGCTGATGCCAGCAGTGATGGATGGCCTTGAAATTCTTGTTTGCTGATCAGATCAATCACTGAACTGAATGCAAAAGAGAGGATGAGGCTCAAACTAAATTCCTATTTCCATCTCTATGCAGAATGGGAGAGGATGAAATGTACCATAAAACATCATGTGCAGCTATTACAAAACTTGCCAAAGTGTTTTTTACATAGAGTAAATTTGATGGCTTGGTATGCTATCAATTTTCAGTTGAAGCTACTCAAAGATTCAGTAGTAAGTAGTCAGATTATGTAAGAAACCATCTTCGAACATTAAACTCCAGGAAGCACCGGCACAATCAATATTCTGTCCACAAACAAGCAAGAGATTCCTTTCAAAACAGCTGAAATGAAAAGAACTGAATGGCAGTCACGTGAAGCAAGAAGGTCTTGTCTTCATTATTTACTGGATTATCATGAGTCTGCTATGATAAAATACACTGTCTAGTTTGCAAGTCTTGAAGGAGTTTATAGGTATATCAATAACTTACAGTTGATTTCTAATACAAAACTTAGTACTACATTTATTTTTAAAGAAGTTTTATTAACTTCCACATACAGTCACACTAAGCAGGGAACAAGATTATGCTTTTTAGGCGTATACACCTTTAAATAGCTCCAGTTACTTTGAATGCATTGATGAACTTATGTAATTATCAGGACAAGCATGATTTGATTATAACATAAGTAATTAAGTAATGAAACAGTTACACTGAATTAAACATCTATTGTTTTGTAAAAAGTATATGGAAATGTATTAAGTGAGATTACTTCACACAGACACTGAAATCACGGCACATAAGAGGAGAGAGAATTAGGATTTCTATCAGGCTCTCTGATAATACTATTTTAGAATCAGGAAAGTTGAAATGAGAAAAAGAAAGAAGTGAAAAATAACAGTTATAACTATTTAAATATAGTAAATACATTACTATATGTTTACATAAACAGTATATATAGCAAATACAAAATACACACATTTAAATTTATAGAAGTACATAAGAATATTACAGAAATAAGTACATATACTGTTATAAGAGGGACATAGTAATGATGGGAGTAGGAAGTAGTGAGAAAAGATGAAGAAAACATAAAGTCTAGACATGAGCTGGAAAGAGAAAGGGCAAAGAAAGGTAGGAGAGGTAGTAGAAAATTAGAGCTCTCTCTCAAAAAAAAAAAAAAAGCAGCAAGTGATGAAGAAATAAAATTAGTAGAAGAAAAGTGGAGAAGGGATTCTTGTTAAGAGTTATAGATGGGTGGCAAGTACCCAAAAGAACCAAACTCAATATGACACTACAGAAGATCTGAATTCCTGTACCTGTCACTGAGTCTCTGCCATCTGTCTATGGAATGCCTATGAGAAGCAAATCTATGTACTTGGTTTCTGTTTACTGCATGACATATCCTGAGTTTTTTTGTCCGTTTTGTTACACACTTTCAGAAGTAATGCAGCAATTCAAACCATAGGAGCAGAAAGTATAACGAGAACTACACTCAGGAAATTCAAAGTACAGAAGAGTCAGTGCGATTTGACACAAAGCTCTTTCTGTTGCAGAAGAAAAGGTAAAGGGTAGCTTTAAGGTCATGTATGCTTATGTTAGAGATACTTTAATATCCAAGCAAAAAAATTATTCAAAATGAGGTAAGAAATAAAAAGAACAACCTTGAAAGGAAAACGTAACAGAAAATGTATAAAGGCTGTGGAAAGAGAAATGAAAGGCAAGTTGCTTGAAAACCTGCAGTTTTCTGGTCTATACAACAATTACTAGCTTGCCCGCCAACAGTTTCTCACTTTAAATTAGTAAAATGTTAGTATTTTCTGCACCAAGATCTTGACACAGAGTCAAAGCTGTCTTTAAAACAACTATTTTGAGCCCAGTGTTCTCTCAGATTTCCATGCTCCATAGAGAAGCAAAAATATTCTCTGGTGAAGATCTGTGCTAAATAAGTTAATTTATCCTTTGAAGATTTTCTCCATGTTCAGATTCTAAAATAATGTTAGAAATTAAACATGCCACAGAGGGATGTATAATGTTACCAATATGACGTAGGTTATAAATGCCCACTAACTCACAAACCACTGAGACTAAAATACCTGCATGGATTGTTATAAATCCACTGAGTAATTTTAATAAATATGACTTAATTCACACTAGCATATTCTTTGTTAAAATAACAAAATATTCCAAGATGACTCTACTTACATGAAGGCACAGAAGATAACAGAATTACCCAGCAACATAAAATAGCACACCATCCTAATTTCATGAAATAGATCATTCACATTGTAATCAACACTGTTTCTCTACTACAGTATAGCTGGAATGATATTTTCTCAGCATCTCGTTTTACCCTCTTTGACTTAAACCTACAAGAGTTGTCTCCCCTTACTCCAGACACAAGAGACTTCAATCAAAAGAAGCTGACACCTATAGGTACAGATGAATGCAAAGTAGCAGAAAGAGAAAGAAAAATAAAACTCTGTATTGACTTTACTCAGTTTAATTGCATATCATTCAACCCATCTTTTCTTGCAGGGTTTCTAATGGCGTAATATTTCTTTTGTTAATCCAAATCTTAGGTGTTCTACTGGCTACAAAGCTGAGTGGGTTGTGTTGGTTATAAACAACTGGTGCCACTAGGGGGGAAATGTTGTCCAAAGACGAACAACAATTGCCCAAGCTTAAAACTCTATTAAATCATTCCACATTGAACTAATGAAAAAATTTCCATTTCAGCCATACGTCTCTTTCCTTACAATATGGACATAATTATACCAATTGAGCACTCCATTTGTTTTTCTAGCTTTTTATCATTTGTTTGGTTGGGGTTTTTTCCTCCAATTATTAGAATATGTATTTCTCTTTGTTCTGAACCAAAGGGCCATGGAGTAGTTATTTAATTATCTCTTATGAATCTTCAGAAGACCCTATGAGCCAGTATTTTTATATGTTTGATAAATTAATGTCTCATTTCTTCAGATTTTTCACCATCTTCATTCATGACTTTTAGAGTTTGTTCTGTCTTCAAAGGAATGTCAGTATTTAAAACATCCAAGAAATAATGATCTCATTAGCTTAATTACTTCTTATTGACTTGATAAGTCACCATGCTTTAATGCAAGATCTGCCACCACAATTAATGACTGCAATCAGGCATTCATTTTACATTAAGTATTCAAGGAAATGTTATGCATCTTACAGTAACTCGGTGGAGAAGTCTTGTCCCAATGGCACAAAAATCTGAAGTGTCAGAAATTGCTGGATCAGCCCCACTAGAAACAGGAAAAAAATTAAATACATGTGCTGTGTGCATGCAAATGCACATTTCACCATCAAGCATTTCAATTTTGTACCATACAGCTATGCTCCTGCAACACTATTTCCCAAGGGTCACACAACATATGAACACGAGAAAAACCTCAAAGAAAACCAATTCAAACTGCAATAAAAGTGTTGTTTTAGAAGTCCCATCTGTGGGATGGTGAGCTTTGGTGGAATTCTCATGAAAATAAAAGGAACTTTTTTTTTTAACTTACAATTCTACATTGTGTTCCAAGAGCATGTAGACACCAAATATCCCACAGGAATTATAAAATAAAGTAATACTTTTCTGTCAAGATTATCTTATAGTCATATGAAACTTGTGTTCATGTTTGTGACAATGTACACCTTATTAAACAACCTCAAAAAACCCTTGGGTAAAAATGCAATCCAGATCACGACAACAATGCTCAGTGGAGGCTTCTGATTTTTAGAACAATAGCAAAGGAGCTTAACTGAGGGAACAAACACAAGAACTCTTTCAGGATTCAGGTAGCTCCCTATCGAGGGAAAACAGATAGTACAAAGCTGTCTGAATTGAACTGTATGTTGTTTTCTTAGTTATTCCATCAGGGATGGTACGGGCTGCTCTTCATTGACTTAAGACTCAACAGCAACATTAGCTCCTCTTCTGAAGAATGCCAATTCAGAACTCCTTTCTTTTGTGGGTCAAATGACACTTTAAAATTTCAAATTATATTTGTAGATATATCATCTTTTATTTTGGAAGAGTATTCAAACATTACAGTACAACTGGGAGATTGTATACTTGATATAAATTAAATACTTGAGGTACATACGCCTCAAGAGAGGAAGAGACAGAGGGAGACAGAATGGTAACAGATGGAAATTTAACTGTCTTATTGCAGCACTAGCTAACGTAAATTTTAAACCAAACTATTCTTAGCAGTGATAATCTACAACACTAATTCTCAATCCTCATTTTAGGCTCTAATAGTTTACTGTAACATTGGCAATAAACAAATTAAAGTTGAATTTCTCAGAAAGACATTAGACTAACATTTATTATACTGAAGAATATAGTAAATTTCTTTTATAAAAATCAGATTAATCTAGGCCTTAATGCACATCCAGACTAGACAATTTCTTATTTACTTTTTGTGTTTGTTTGGAAAAACTGATTTGTAATGATACACCCTGCATGAGAAGTATACTAGAAGATTCCTGTTTCATCTGACTAAAATCACTATCTCAATTTTTTTTCAAAAGCAAGCACTTAATTCTTAACCAGCTCAATTCATTACTACAAGCCTTATAAGGTGTAACACCCTGCAACAGAGTTTAAGGCGTAAGTTATGATGATTGCTGTATGCCCCGAGAAACACAGACTGCTTTGATTCTGGTTTATTCTGGTGCGAGTAATAGACAACCTGAGGAAACACTCCATACTACCCATCAAACACTGATTACAAAAACACAGCTGAAATTTGGGTATAACTTCCTTGTACTGCTAGTGCTTATGTGATACATAACAGTAAAAATACTTTAAAAAGTAAAATGAGAAAGGAGACAGGAATCTATTTCACATTCTGTAATGCCAATAGAATTATTGACTTTAGTAAGTGCTGAATGGAGTTAGAAGTTATTTGCCAGACATCAGCCTGTAGCAGGATCAGGTACAGAAGTGAACCTAGCAGCACTAGGACAACATGTATCAAAGACCTTCCCTACAGCACTTACTTTAATACCTTTTACTTATTTGTAACTGACCTGCTAAAAAGTTAATGAAAACCCACTTTGCTAATGCTGAATTATGCCCAACGTAAGGGAGAATAATGTAGACTTCTACATTCCAATATAAGACTGATTAATAATCAGAACATCACAGACATTTAATTCTTTGATACTTACAAGTTTGTCTAGTTTCCTTTGGTAGCTGCATTTTGTTGATTTGACTGCTTCCTTCAAGTACAAAAACAAAGCCTTTTACTTCTTTATCATATTCCTACGAAAAGGAACAAACAAACAAACATAAGCATCCTGATAGATTTCTTCTCCTCACAACCAACCATGCTACTAACATGCAAAGCTGCTTTTAAAAAAAAAAAAAAAAAAAAATCACAAATGGCAGATGGCACTGCAAGTATGACAGTAGTTCAAATACGGTGGTAACAATATAATCCACAGAAATATGCCCTTCACTTGCATAAATAATTTACTTGAATAAATAATGCTGACAAACAGGACTCATGATCCAATGGGCCCAACTCAATCCATTAGTTATGAGAATAGCAAGATTACTTTCTAAATATTTAAACTCTAAAATTACACTGCAACCAACCTAGTCTGCAAGCAGGCATAAAGAACTAATTTAAGTAGTCCTTTAGTCTGTCATAATGACAGAACTGCAAGTGACAACTCCACTGTCAGGTCAAAGCCCTCATTACCTTCTAATTTTAAGCTTCATTCACATTTTTCTGTTCTATACTCTACATTCTAAGTTTCTTTAAAAACTTACTTTCCATATAGCTGATGGATTGCCAAAAATCTTCCATTTTGCTCCTGGGTTCTTGCCTTGAGCACTGAATATTTCAACAAATGGGCCACCCTATGATAAAACAGTTTAAGGATACATCATCCAACCAAATGTTCAGCACCAAATTGTCAATAGTCAAGATGAGTACATAAGAACAATCCCTCCCCACATCAGACTGTTACCACAGTCAGTATTACTGATCAGTCAGACAGCAAAATATTAACAGCTTCTAGACTACTATAATACAGCAATCCATACAGTTAATATTTGACTTTACTAGAGGATCAGAACATAAAATTGAAGAAATACCATGGAATATTTTAAATTATCTTACTTACAATGTCATTCTCTAAAAAGCAAAATTATTGTAAAAACTCTAAAAACATGCAGGAGATTAGTAATTTATATTTGGATATGGTTTATTTCTACAACTCACCAAATGAAGTGAGTTTTAAAACATACTGTTAAAAAAATAAAAACTTGCAGATTGGATGTTTTGTCTGATTTCCTATGGAAATGAAGTTTGCACAATCTGTCTATATATGTGAGCATGTTTGGCTCTGTTACATATGTGAGTATGTCAAAGACATTTCCCAGTAACTTTTCTACTAGTTACCAAATTCCATCCTGATTTGACCAAACAGTCTGGGAAACTCACAACAATTTACTGTCTTTTCTGGGCCAACTTAAGCAGCCTTGTCATAGATCTGATCCTACCAGTATCACCATAAAAATCATGCCGCAGCCTTCATGACACATCAGAGAATTAATACTGGAAGAAGATTATAAATGCCCCTGCCAGGTAAAAATGTCTTACACAGAGCATGTGCCCTATTACACATCAAAGAATTTAACCACCTCCTGGGGAGGTAAGCTTTATCAGCTCTGTTTAGGGAATTATTTGCTTCAATATTTTTCCCATCTGATGTCACATTTTTGTGACAACTGATATACTCAGCCTATAGTTTGATAAGCATTTTTTTTAGCAGCATGGTTGACCTAATCAATCATTACAACTCAGCTGCTCCCATCTCATTCCTAGTTGCCTGTACTCCCCAATTCTCTTTATGCTCAGCTGCCCAAACAATTGTACACAAGTCAGAATGAGCAAGAGGGGTGAGCAGTCTTGCCAGCAAAATAAATGCTCTTCAAATTATGCTTTCAGAGAACATCAATGCTGCACTGTGTATGAATTAGGTATTTTCCTCCTCCCACCCACACCTGGCAGCTTCCAGTAGCATGGCTAACCCCAGTGACTAGACTTCCTAAGTTCTAAGGAGACTCAAAACAGCATTCCATAAAACTGCACTCATAAAATATTTTTTAAATGTATAATGGACAAAAAAAATATTGCATACTATCAATTTGAAAGTTATCTGACATATTTAAGGACTACAGGATCAAGCTCTCAAAATTAAAAAAGATTCTTAACTGCCAAGTTGTATGTGCTTGTAGCAAGCCTTAACAAACAAGTAGCTTTTACTCCCATATTTACAAACACATTTTGTTAATACTGCAGCCCTTGAGTAGGCCCTGATTTGAGGTTGAACTAACTGAACAGGACACTGAAAACTACCAGACATGACATGAGAAAATGGTGAACAAATACTGATGCAAGAAGCTGAAAAAAGTTACTTAGTGCTGTGGAGGATGGTTGGATCTCATGGGTGGCCAAGGGAGAGTTAAGCAAGAAACTGTCAAACTCCACAATCAATTGGAGGGGAGTATGGGGCATCTTTTGCAGAGCGCAATCCTGAAAAGCCAACAGCACCTAGGCAACAGTATCAGAAATACCACAAAGCTGAAATAGCCTAGGTAACAGCATAAGAAATACCAATTTTGGGTACAGATGTAGCACATCTGGGACCAGTGGGAAAAAAGTAATTAGGGGTGGGTTGCTCTCTCAGGAGGGAACTGATGCAGAGAAAGGGAGGCAAAGCATGGTGAAAAGGAAGGCTAGGAAACAGTAAAAGGGATAGTAAGGTTTGTGAATGATGCAACCAGTGCTGTCACAACCCTGTGCTGGACCAAAAGAATAAACCAACCCCCCTTTTCTGACTGTACCTTAAGAGTTGGGCTGGCTTCCATGGCCGGGTGGGAGCAGATGGTGTGCCTTCCCTGGCCCACAAGGGAAGGCACACCAGACAAAAAGCTGTTGGTAACACCATGTTGGTGCCCATTCTAGATCTGACAGCATTAACAGCTACCCACTATTTCATAACATTCCTATAAAAATACTGAATAATGAAACATTCCAAAACATTTCTATATCTGGACTTTTTGCCCCCCAGAATAAGTCATTTTAATTGAGTTCTCTCAGAGGTGAAACGAAAGAGGGTAAAAATATAAAACTATTTCTATTTTACCTGATACTGATTTTTGAACATTCTCCAGCTTTCACAGGCGAAAAGTAATTTCAGCTTCTCAATCAGTAACGACACTTAAATACCATACTGAAAAACAAACAAAAAACTTTATACAGGATTTGATGTGAAAAAATCCTATAATGAAACCCCGACCGTATTTTAAAAGAAATGAATACTATTATGAAATACTTTTCATGAGTACAGGATGTATATCAACTGCATCAGAGTGCTACCACAAAGGAATTAAGATCAAAAAAAAAATTAATATTGATGTTGTCTTGGAAAATGTTCTCTTCATGCATCAAGTACTCAGGGCTGCCTTTCCTTACATCCCAAATAAAACTAGTAATTTTATGTCAGCCCTTATTTTTAACAATGAAGGCTTTGTCATGCTTTAAAAAAGCTTGAAAATCATCTTTAATACACATTTTTTATTATTCTTTGTTATCGAGTGCCCACTGGAAAACATTAGAGTCCATTAAAGAGGAGCTTAACATTTAGTATATAAAAACATATGGAACAGCTGCAATAGAAACCACTCCATCTAGAGATATTTGGCAGAGACTTCTGAGACAAGTTATCTTCTTTCACATTCAGCATTCTTCTTTGAGGATGAGTAGTCTAAGACTCAAACCAAGCACTTCAGTTATTTGAGGGCTGCTAAAGTCAATGTGAATTAAGAGGTGTCTGCAGTTGGAGAATCAGAACAGTACAAAGTGAAGGGACTGATAATGGAAGCCTCCCACATCCCTTTTGGATCATGCTGAGCATCTGCAATTTCATCTGAAGTCAACAGAAGGTGAAGGGACCCTGAACATAAAAGATAGTTGTCAATCTCTAAAGACAGGTAGAACCAGTCACAAGAGACAACATACACCTTCACTGTGGAAGCTGAAAGTGCTCATCAACTCACAGAAAAATCCTTTCACAAGACTTGTGTCTCTCATTCATTTGATATACTTTGTTTATGTTCATTGCTTCAGATCAGGCACAGACCACTTAAAGAATTAAATTATTTTCAATTACTGGATTTTTTTTGAGCCTGAAACCATTTTCTTAACAGATAAAAACAATATGTTGACCAGGAGAATATAAGTATAGCTTCTCATGAAGAACAGTTTAGCTCTCACAACCAGAAAGTGACAAAAAGTTTAAAAAATTTTATAAAAACATATGTGACTGTGAATGAACTAGAAACTCAGTGATAATATGCAAGAGTTCATAAACAATGTATGCATTTAAAAGATTAGAGCAGGGTCCTATTTTAAAAACTATACCACCATTCACTTAGGAAAATGTGATTAAATCTGTTGATGTTTAGCCACAATTCTTTTAATCAGCAACAATTATTGTAAGTCTTAAAGTTGTCTGTAAATGAAAAAAATTGAAAAAAATCAGATATTAGAAATGTATCCCATGCTGTTGCCAGAAACATTAGTTTATTTTAAACTTTTTGATTATAAGGAAAATGAAATTTGGAAACCATAGTATTTGTAACAGGTCTATCAAAAACTGTAATTAGTATTTTGATTGTATTACTTTAATACTGCCACTGCACATCTAACACACCAGTTGCATTCTGCATTTTGGACCATTTTCTATGCAAATTTCCCACTTGTTCAGTTGGCATAATTGTTTTTTTAAGAATGACAACATTAATAGCTATATTGAACTATTCCAAATTATGAACTAGACGTTTTAGAAATGCCTTTTACAGAATGCACTTCTAAAGCCAGTGTATTATTTCTTCCCTCTGTATGTATTCACTTTATATACAGAGCAATTGTTCTGGAAATCACTGTTCATTCACTTTTTTTATCTGCAGCTCTATCTTTGCCATTCTCTACAGGCTTTACACAAGCCAGAACTACTCAAAATTGCATGATTCATGTCTTATTGAGAAGTAATGACACCACAGAACTAATCTCAGAGTGACCCACTGTTTTCATTCACTTTGCTACATGTGAAGGACCAGTAGTGAGAGAGACAGAAGTCATGCCCTCCTATGGTACATATTTACAATTTGTGTATTACTGTAACTCACATGGTGAGGCACTTGCCCTTCTAGGACTAAGGATTTCACTGTCCTCCAGTTTTTATTTATTAAGTGAAGGAGGTGCGAAGCAAGACACTGCTTTTTTTCTTGAAGCAAAGCCCTTTCACTTACTTTTGCTTTAAAAATCAGTTCCAGATCTGCCAAGCATCACGCACCTAACACGATCCTCACATATTTTGCAGTTCTGTAATGCCTTATTACATCTCAGGGAAAAGTATTAAGACTAAAATAAATGTGAGGGATCCTGATATAAGAGTCACTGTATGAAAAATATAAGGTTCTGAGATTGAAAAGAATAACTTATCTCTGTCAGAGACTGCTACTAATATTCTGGGCAGAAGTCTTGTTCTGAAATATATAGTATGATTATAGTCAGCAGAAACATTTAGTGTGTAGTATGTAGAGGCCAAGTTTCATCTTCATTACCATACTATCTTTCAGGATGGAAAGGCTAAAGCTCTTTAGCAAGGTGGACAGCTACAGTATTTGCAGACACTGCTGTAGTCAGAATTACACATAAGACATAGAAAGTAATACTACATTTTCTTCACTGTTTTTTCATAAAGTAAACCTGGCTTTCAGAAGAGCCAATCCACTGATGGCACATCACACGGGGCTTTGAAGGAAGATGCAAATAGCTCTGTATACAGTGCAAGGTGAGTGGAAGCTATATTGATATATTAACTTGGTTTCAATACTGTGCTAATACACTTTGCCTCTCAGCAGCACTTATTAGCTTTGGCTTGACATCACTGATTTATCTCCACACCATATTGTATGGAAATAGTTCTCAGTTGGCTCTGAGCACAGGAAGAGCATACATGCACTGGTAAAACACCATGAAGACACACACTTATATCCCACCAAAAACTCCGCTACTAATTAATTCTTAAATTTAAGTGGAGGAAGCATGTGCCTGAACTGAAAAGTTCTCATTCAAATGATATACTTAAGATAGCAAAGATGATCAAATAATTAAAGACTTGCATAAAGGATCACAGAAAGGGTAGAGAAATATACGAAGAGATAACATCTAGGAAGTATGCAGTAGTGAAAAGAAATACAAAAGACTGTGGGGCAATGAACACTTATTGAAGGACTAGAAATCTCATACTATCACTAGAAATCTTCAAATCATCAAATAAAGTTCAGTCTTATAATATGGCTTAAAATTTGTCACCAATGCAGTTGTTTTTTTAAACTGACATACATATGGGCAAGCTAGGTTATTTAGTAATTGGCGGAACATATTTTATACAGACTCAGAACACTGATGACCCTTGTAACTATCAAATTTGTAACAAGATGGCTCTACCTAACTTTAGTGAAAGGTAAACTTGGCCCAAAGTGTGTAAGCATTTGTGTTAGGACAACTCATTCACACTAGGAAGCTGATTACAGTAAACAATTCAGTGAAATATCAGCTTGTTTTTCACAAAGGCAAAAAATACTGCAAACGACACTGCAGTACACTTTTGCTCATACATTGCTTACTTGTAACTTCCCCATTTCCATTAAGTTACTACAAATGAAGACTAGAAGTTACCTTTGCTATTAAGATTGGTAGCGACTAAAAACATTAAGTGAATGATGTATTTGTCCTGTAATTACTGAGATAATATTAAGAAGTGCTTTCATTATGCATGAAGTATTGTTGTCTTTAGTCATAGTAACCTATGCTTAAAAAAAAAAAAAAAAAGAGAGAATGGTCTGGAAAACTGATAGTTGCAGTATTTCTGCCCTTTTCTTTCCTCCTCCTAGCCTCTCCAGGAATTCTAAAATCAAGAGTGCTTAAAATCCAGAGGGACTATTTAGAAAAATCAACAGCATCTTGAAATATAAATCCTCCTCTTTTTGCATATTCGTCAAATAAATAGATCTTTTACAACATCTTTACAGAATGCCATAAAGTAGCAGTTCTCTCATTTTTAAGTCACAGATCAAACTTATTTTTTTCATTGCTCTGAACCATTGTCATGGTTTAGCCCCAGTCATCAACCAAGTACCACACAGCCTCTCACTCATCCTCCCTCCCACTGGTGGGACGGGGGAGAGAATCTGAAGAGCCAAAGTAAGAAAACTTGTGGGTTGAGATAAGAACAGTTTAATAATTGAAACAAAATATAATAATAATAAATTGTAATGAAAAGGAAAAAAAAGAGAGAGAGAGAGAAACAAAACCCAGAAAAAACAAGTGATGCAACTGCTCACCACCCACCAACCAATGCCCATCCCATCCCATCCCCAAGCAGCAATCGCTACCCCCCGGCAGTGCGCACTGCCCCCCCCCCCCAGTTTCTATACCAAGCATGACGCCATATGGTATGGAATAGCCCTTTGGTCAGTGGAGGTCAGCTGTCCTGGCTGTGCCCCCTCCCAGCTTCTTGTGCACCTGGCAGAGCATGGGAAGCTGAAAAGTCCTTGACTAGTGTCAGCACTACTTAGCAACAACTAACACATCAGTTGTGTTATCAACATTCTTCTCATCCTAAATCCAAAACACAGCACTATGCCAACTATTGGGAAGAAAATGAACTCTATCCCAGCTGAAACCAGGACAACCATCTACATCTGTCCAACTGGAAATACAGGCTGAAAGTGTCAGTCAATGACAAACCATCAAGAATGTAGTTTATAAAGTTAAGTGACAATGAAAGATATTTATCTTTGGAAAAATAGATTCCTGTCAGAATTTACCTTGTGAGGTCCTGACTTGTGCACTGACTTTGACCATTAGTTTCACAATGTTTCCCACACTGAAGATAAAGTAGCAGCAGTCCAAAGGGCTCTCTAATCCTTCCATTCACACAAACCATTCAGAAACCTGCAAAAATATCTCCATCCTAGGACATCTCTTATGTATATTTTTTCTTCAAACTAGAATGTTTCACATTGCAATATTTCAATGATATTTTGTGTTTATGTAGCCCCACAATTCAAACAATTGGTCCCTAGTAAGTTACAA